CATTCTGGACTAGCTGAAGCCGCCGGATGCTCTTCAAGGGCAGCCCCATGTAGAGCACATTGCAGTATATAAGTCTAAGTGCTATTCTTATTTATTTCTTTACCTGCAGAAATGTTGAAGCCCATAAACGAGATCGGATTTTCAATGCAGCACTTTTCCCTTTTTCCAAGAGCCCCACTGAACAGGTGATCATTAAACATTCCACATTTGTGCAGTTCTGTATACAGAGTAAAAAGATATATTAATTATTTATTGAAGATATTGACAGAGTCAAATTCCATCAGGGGAATCTAGAATGCTTTTATTTTTAAAAATTAGTAAAAGACAAGAAATGCTAAGTTTTAAAAGAGAAAAATAACACTAATTTAGACCTCCTTAAGAAAAAGACTGTCTATTTGGAAAATTGTCAATTTAAAAAAAATCTAAAACATTATTAATAGGATGTATGAGCTTGCATATCATGCCATCATGCCAATGTTTAAAATATGGTTTGCTGAATCAGTCAGCTTAATATTCAGTTCCTTTTGCTATTTGATTTTGGATGTAATTAATACTGAAAATCCACGTTTTATTACAATATGTTGAAAGCACAGTGCTGTTCAGGGAATTCAAGCATTTTGTGAAATATAGTTAAGAAATCATTGGCATTTGCTAAGCATGCTTCTAGCATTTCAGAAGAAATAATCAGTAGGGTAAGTAGTCATTGTGTTAATTAGAACAAGTGATCATTAGTTCAATGATGTTACATCATAGACAAGAAGGAACAATCTCTATATATGTGTATATATAAGTGGATGCCAATTGCACAACATGACAAATATTAAGTTATAAGCCGTCTGTGTTCAAATCCCCAAGTCTCCTAGTTCAGAACTACATAAACCGGATTTCTGTAAAATCAAATGTGGTCTTAAAAAAATAATGTTAGATGATGTGACATTATGTAAATGCAAAGTCAAATCCCAAATTATAGAATATCACAGCAAATGTTTCTTCATTAAAACTGAATGAGTGATTATGTTTTCTTTTTTGTTAAACTCCCATCCTCAACAGGAAACTGATTATACAGAACTTACTGAAAGGCAATATTTTAGAGGAAGTATTTGTTTAGCTTTTCTTATTTAATTACTCTTTAATCTAGCCAAAGTGTTTATTCTCTGTAATGTAGGAGCAATGAAGACATGTCTTTCTATTCACAGTTGTACTAGATCAAAAAAGAGCTTCATAATTAAAGACTAAGTCAGACACTTAAAAAATAAAACAAAAAACAGATGCATATAAGATTCGACGACTATTTTGTTGTGATTTTTGTATCAATTGAACAGATGTACAGGCCAGGACACAAAAAAAGCCATCCTCATTTTACAGGTATTTTTTGACTTATGACCACAATTGAACTCATTTTTTCCATTGCTAAGTTAAATGAGTCAGATCCCATTTTATAAACCAGGGTAGTCAACCTTTTTATACCTACAGCCCACTTTTTTATCTCTGTTAGTAGTAAAATTTTCTGACCGCCCACTGGTTCCACAGTAATGGTGATTTATAAAGTAGGGAAGTAACTTTACTTTATAAAATTTATAAAGCAGGGTTACAGCAAATGTCTACCGCCCACCATGAAAGCTGGAACGCCCACTAGTGAGCAGTAGGGACCAGGTTGGCTACCACTGTTATAAACTTTTCCCCCACAATTGTTAAGTAAATCACTGCAGTTGTACAATTGTGTCATTAAATGAATTTGGCCTCCACCAATAACTTGTTCAAAAGTTCCAAATGGTGATCATATGACCCCAGATACCACAACCATTTTAAATACATCCAGTTATCTAGCACTAAAATTTTGTTCTTGTGACCATGAGGATGCTGCTATAGTTGTGTGAGAACTGATCATAAGTAACTTTTTAAAGTTCCCTGGTAACTTTGAACAGTTGCTAACCAAATGGTTTTAGGTTGAGGATTACCTGGACGTTTCTAGACTCCCAGGATAGTTTGGACTTTCTCCCATTTTTGAATAGGATGCCCTTTCCAAAGAGTAAGCCACTTATTTTTGAAAGAGGGAATTTGAAAAATAGTTTGACATGCTGTTCAGAAATTTTTAAAAAAGGAAGAAAATGAGCCAAACAATTTTACTATGCTAAAGCAAGACTTGTCACTCACAACAAGCAGCTCTCAAAAATTATAACCATGGAGTAGTAAGATTTGATGTAATCTTTGTTTGCTGTAAATGCATGTGGAACATTCCTCATGCAAGCTAATGTGGTAGCACCACACTATCAATGTACATGGGGAATGGTCTTTTGGTGGTGAGATATGTAAATAGTGACACAGTTGATAAATCATAACCTGTTTTCCCCTTTGCCTCCAGCTTGTATTTAAAACAGAAGTTGAGAAAAATCTAGATTGTGAAATGCTACCTTGTCTAAATCCAATCCACTTGAATCAAACTACTGGAAAACCTGCATTGTTATGTTTTCTATAACATCACAGGTTCTTCTTCCCCAACTTAGTTGTACACAGAGTTTAACAATTGAGACAGACACTTGTTCAATTTGTTTTGGTAGTTTAAAGGTTAGTTATTACCAAAAAATTAACAACATCTTGAAGCATTATGGATGAATAGACTCTATGATTGAGTTTCATTGTTTCATAGACAGCCTTCCCAGAATTTAGAATTGCTTAGTATCGATAATCAGGAAAAGAAATGAAGAATGAGAATTACTGTTAATTGGTTATTAAATTTGCAGGACATTTTCAAAAAACTAAATAATGGCAGAGTTTAAACATGCATGAAATATATTATAAAATAGATCTGATTATAGCTTTGAATTAAAATAGAGAAGAATCAATAGAATAAAAAGTAAATCACAGATTATACTTTTGTCTCTTTTTCCCAGCTATTATCTCTTTATTTCTCTAACTGGATGGAGAAAGTTACATGTAGAAAGAACAGAGAAAACCACCTGATTTTATGGATAGGATATTTTCTTGTACACAACAAAAAGTATTTTTAGACAGCATTATGACTCAAAAATTAAACTGCATATGGAGATGAATAAAAGATATCTTATTGTGACCAATCTTGATACAGCTAATTTTATATTTGTAGAGTGATCTAAGAGTTACACATCTTGTTGCCTATTAGTTAACTATAAATGATTCCTTAAGTGATGGTGTTATATGCCTGAACACAATAAACTAAAGAGAGTTAAGGAGAATGGGAGTGTTGTGAATATTTCTTCTCCACAAAGACAAGTTATAAAAAGTTCTTCCATGATCATGTAAAACGAGGGTCCCTGAATATATAGCACAGAAATATCTAATTATCTCACCAGAATTTTTGCAGAGTTTTTTTGATACTCCACCAATTTGGCTTCCCTACGTCCAACAGAGTGAGAGATGGAGGAATTGTGTAAAAAAGCAGCAAGCTCTGGAGTGTCTTCTGGGACAGTAAACTACAGAAAACAGAAATGAGCTTTAAATGAGCTTTAAGTACTTTTGTAGAATTATAGAATTAACGTACTAGAATATCAAATTTCTAAAAGCCTAAAAAAGCAAACTTTCGGTGAACAGGAAAATTAAGATTCTCTTACCTTTACATCCAAACTGTTAATTGCAGAACTTGTTTGACACTTCAGAGGTCCATGTGTCTGAATGTGAAGGATGTAAAGAAGAAATTCTGTTTTGCTCAATACTGGCCATTCCACATACAGGACTGTATCATTGATGGCACTTGGCCCAATGTTGTGCAACTATGTGAATAAATAATAATAATTAGCAATTTTTTATTCATATTATTATGCATTTTTTAAACATTATCCCTACCACACTACAGCAATCCCATCAATCTCTTGAGCCAAACCTATGAAAAATTCCCCATCATGGTGTAAACTGAAGACCTAATTAGGTCTACATGGGACTGCCCTTGAAAAGCATCCAGATGCTAATTCAAAATGCAGTGGCATGTGTAGTTTTGTACAGACCCAGATGTGCACATATATCACCTTTCCTGCAGGAGCTGCATTGGCTTCCAGTTTGCTTCTGTGTACAAATCAGTGCTGATCACCTTTAAAGCCCTATATATTGTAGCTTGCCACAAGGTTATCCAAAAGATTCTCTCTTCCCTATTACATTCATCCTCCCCAGATTGGGGAGGCAGGGGATGTTGTGGGTCCTTTCTCCTAAGGAGATACATACATCTGGGGTGACCCGGGAGAATGGCCTTCTCTGTAGTAGATCCCTCCCTCTGAAACATCATATTTGTGAATGTTAGTCAGTCTTTTGCAAAGACTTGAAGCTATAGTCTTTCCAGCAGGCCTGGGAAACCCAGAGTGGAATGGTGCCTATCAAATAGCTTGTTTTATTGCTTTTTGTCTCCTGGAGATATTATTTTTACTCTTTATAATGGTTTTTTTTTTTTTTTTTGCTTAGAGTCACTAAAAATGAGTGGGCGACTATATAAATTCTCTAAAAAATAAATGTGGCTGTATGAAAGATGCAAAGATTGCAGATTTGAGTACTGATCTTAAATCTCTTTTTTCAGTTCTGTTATAACTTTGAATGGTCTCAGTTTATAAGTAAGCACTACTTGTAGTTGATTATTACTAGCTTGTGGTAATAATTCACAGGTATTCTGAAAATAAGGAGCAAGGCATAATTGGAAGCACATTACAACTTCCAAACATTACAACTAAAATTGTCTCTTCCAAGACAAAGCAACTATGTTATCATTCTGGTCGACAATAAAACAAGTATTTTAATCTGTCAGCTTAATCCTTTTCCAAATGTTCTCAACTCTGCAGGTTTCTTTTCCCCACTTCATATCTTACTATTAAAGCTATAATATTTTCAGTTTACTCAAAATAGTACCGACATATTATAATACTATAATAAAGAACTTTAGGAGCGCAGCCTAAAAATATGATAGGTATGCTTTTAGTACACGAATGTGCTAAGCTAATGATAGCATATTAAACTTAACTCCAATTATCAATAACATTCCATAAGCCCAATATCCGACATAAACAGTGCTTGCCTTGTAAGATGTCGATTTATAATTTTGCTTATATTTTGTTATCCATAGTCCCCTCGGAGATTGCCCATCCTGTCCTGCCTACTGATTTGTAAATAAAACCATATGTGAAACATCCTGTTTCACTCTCAAATTTAGTTATCCATCAAATTCCAAGGAGATTATGTATTCATTATATTTCACTCCCTTCATAGTGTTCGTTTGAGTAACCTTTGAAATTGAACGATAATAATATATATTAACATTTATGAATGTTCATGATGTGGTTTCTAATTGGTTTTTAATTTGTACTTTATTGTAATTTAGTTATCTAATATGCCTAGTTTCTGGGATAAAGATACGAATTAAATGTTAGGAAAAATCACTTTTCTTCATGTCCCAGCATCTTAATTATATTGAAGGCATGATTGTTGAGATTTACTATCTTTGTCTAATTAAGGATATATGATGAAAGATTAAGGAATGAAGAATATGTGTGTGTATGTGTGTAATGGTTCAGAAAGATTGTTGGAGTACCTGTTTCAGAGCAAAATAGTTAAAAGAGAAAGGGAGGGAGGGAAGGAGGGAGAGAGGGAAAGAAAAAGAGAGGGAAAGAGAGAGATGGGGAGAGTGGGAGGGAGGGATAGAGAGGGGGGGATGAAATAGATACAGCTTTGCTTTTCTAGCTTAGCTCTGTAATTTAAAATAATAGATATACTTAGATATACATAAATCAGCCATGGTGTCATAGACCCAGTGAAGGTCTTGCTACATTCATGCATGCCAACTGAATATAGCCATGGATGGGTCTTCTTTATTTCTCACTATGCTTCTTCCCCAAACATGGCCATATTCAGTTGGGAAACTGAAGAGACAGTAAAGCTCCACCCAACTGTATTTTGATGGTATATTTCTAGATGTTGAAGAATAAATAGAATTCCTAATTGCCTCAGGCATAAAGCAAGATTCTGCAATCAGCATATCTAGATATTTGTGGTGGACTATAGTGGAGATTCTGTGGCCTTCCAAAAGTCTTTGGTAATCACAACAGATTTCACAATTGACCATGCTGTCTAGAACAGGGTCAGCAGAAGCAGAAGTAAATTAAGCATGGCAAGAATACTTTCTCAATTGTCAATAAACTTCCTTTTGTGTATTATGTATAAAAATATGCAGTTTCTTATTAGTAATCTGTTTTTATAGTTATTTGTTTGTTTGTTTTTTACCTCATATATATGTTCCACTAAAGGTCCAATCTCATCTTCTTTGGTAGGTTCATCTTTTGGTTTCCAGTTATGAATTGGCAAAACAATTTGTGGAGGGTGAGAGACTCTGAAACAGTTCATAAATAAAATCACATTAGATCGCTTGTTTGTTTAAGAAAAGAAGAAATGAATGCAGAAGCAGAATAGTAAATGATAGCTCATCCTCTATTGATTCATTTATATAAATCATCCATAAGTACTTCCTTAAAGATAAAGCTCAGGTAGTTTTTTTAAGGAAAAAAAGTTACAAATCTTTAGGTGTGCTATAGTATTAACAGACAAGCATGTCTGCAAATGGAGATTGAAACCTCAATAATGTTTTATATGGATTCATGCAGAATATTCAAAAAATAGACAGGGCTTCGATTGCATAGTTATAATCATCATTTTGAATTTTTGACCTCCTTGTGGACACTTCTGACACTAGTTGCAGATTCCCAAAAGACTATTTCAACATCATATACATATGCATTCATATAGTACTAAACACAACTACTTGTGTACAGCTTAACCTTTAATGCCAATACAAATACTAGACTACTAAAAAATAATAGTCACTTAAGTAGATGCCAATCATCAGTTCTTGATTTTTAAAAGAACTTACTTTGTAATAGATTAAAAACAACAACAAAACCAACAGGTTTCAGGAAGAGATGCTTTCTTAACTAGATATGTATAAATACTCCTGAAACTTCCTTTCAGTATTCCTCAGGAAATTAAAACATGTCTTTATGATATATGATATGAGCATAATCTGTACTGGCAGGATATTCTTTTAGGAAATACACAGCTATTGTCAACTGTGTTCACCTATAGATTATTACAAATATGTGTCATTTTTTATTCCATCAGCAGTATTATTCTAAGGATCAGATGATTAGATTTAAATATTTAATTTACATGTCAGAATAGTCACACATTGAAATTATTTTATAATACAGTTAAGAATATTTTTGTGTCCCAAGTTGAACCTTGGCCATATGTTCTTGAAGATGAGTTTGCTGTGTTGTGCACTTGAAGAAAAAAAAAAAAGCATTGTGAATATCATGCCCTAAGGCAATCCTGCTACATTAACTGAACTTCTAAAATAGCCTAAAGGAACTTTGGCTATTTTAAATCTAATTTGTTGTGACAAAAGACTGACTTATGAATAAGAATGAATAGAATGGCATAGGATATCATAGTTTTATACACACACACACACACACACACACACACACACACCTGAATTAGCTGTCAAATTGATAGTGATCATTTTATCATATTACGTGACCACTTAAAAGTCCTGTTGGCATGAATTCACCCTCACATGGCTGCCAGCTTACTATTAAGACAATGTACCAGTTGGCAAATATGCAATCTGGCCATGCCTACAGCAACAACAGATGTGTAAGAATTGTTTTGGTATTTTAGGCAATCAACAGACTTTCTGAAAAGAAGTATATTTTAAGACTTATCGTAGTCAATTATTACAAAAGTTTAAGTACTGTAATACACAGTAACAATAAATTAAATAATTATGACTATTTTATATTTGACTCAAAATAAATGTACTTACCCTCTGATCTGTACATGAGCTATTGCACTGATGTCAATCTTAAGTTCAACCAAATTACTGTTGGGATTAACTTTGTTGGAACTAAAAAAAAATTAGGGTAAATTTTAATTATGTTTCAAATATGTGGGGCTGAAGCATTTTAACTTAAATCTATAATGATCAAGGAATACTGTGCTTTTTCCACTAGACACTCTCTAGATGGATATACTTTCTAAATATGTCCTTGGTCAAAGTAAAATAGATAAATTAGGCATCAGTATATTAACATACAGTACAGTATAGTACAGCATTTCTTAAATTTGTAGAATCCCTCCCCATTTTGAGAAATTATAGAGAATCCCAAAAGACTTTATGTTTGTGTGAATTATACATACTGCTATGTTCCGTATTAAAAATTAAAACTGATACATTTGTAAAATATTCATGTACTAAATCATATAAAATAACAATATTATATCTATTAGATATTAATATACAGTGGAACATCCAGTCATGACCATAATCTGTTCCAGGCCTTCGGTTGGCACCCAATTTGGTCATGACTGACTGTGCATGCACACATTAAAAAAAAGGTGCGGAAGGGGAAATTGCTGCTGCTGTGATTGATAGCCACCCGAGGATGTTTTCGTGAACAGAGTGAAACATTTAGTGGATTTTATGGTCTGCACCCGATTTGGTCCCAAGGTTTGTGACCCAAGGTTCCACTGTACTATAAGCGTTTGTGACCCGAGGTTCCACTGTACTATAATTTCATTCCATGAAAAACTATATTTTTAACAAATTAAAAAAATGAAGAGAGTTATTTTATTTTAAATATTGGCAAACATTTTTAATATCTTGCAAATAATTGTTGGTTTTTTTTGAAACCTGAAAGTATGTTGTGGTACCCTCCCAAAAAAGCTCCTCAGACCAAATTTTAAGGAATTCTGGTATAGATTAAGAACAGATACCATCATTCTCTTCAAATGTCTTGGACTGAATATCCATAACATTTTCTATTTACCATATTGTTGAGGTAGAGGGAGATGACCTTCAGACTAATAGGGTTTCCAGGATACCAAGGTGTAATAAGATGGATTAGTTAAATATACATATATACATATTTTAATCTGCTTCCTTTGGCATTATTGATGGGTAGATTTCAGGAGAGTCATTATCATCACCGATTTTGCTCTTGTGGTTCAAGGGAAGTAAAAATTTTACCTATTTTTCTTTTGGTGTTCGGTATAGGGTATCCAGAAATGGACTTTGTTCTCCCTAGTTATTTCAAAATTTTGGAGTCATATAAATAAATATAATGTTAATTATTCTTAAGGACCAAATATATTTATTAAACCAGACAACTCTGCAAAACTTTGACTTAGATATGTTACTCTATTGTTTTACGATAATTTCTGGGTAATATGTTTGGTCTAGCAATGTATTTGTAAGGCTGGTCAAAGTCCATAATAAAAAAATTTCTTTCATTACATGTGTATTCTTACCTTCGCACTTGGAGCTTGAATTCAATGCTCAATTCAGGATTTTCAAAATGCTGAACAGTAAATTTGATGCCGGCAGAAAACTACAAAGTGAAATTATATGTTAAAACTTTGAACATTTGACGAAACTATGTTTATAAATGAATATTATATGTTTAAGAAGTTGCCTTGAGTGAAGTATTGTGAGTATATTTGCAGCAGGCATTTCAGCAAACAATTTATAAAAAGGTGGCAATTAATTTTACAGGGGGTGGACTAGAAGACCTCCAAGGTCCCTTCCAACTCTGTTATTGTATTGTATTATATATATGTATAGTACTACCCACTTCTGTCTTACATACACTATTTATTCATTTTAAAGCAACTAGAGTTTTTACTTCCATCCTTCCCAAAGCAGTAAAATAATTCATATCTTGTCTATCTATTCTCTTTTTATTAGGGTATTGATCTTAAGGTCCAATGTACTGTATACAATCAGAAATATATGTGTGTTTGTAATGATTACTGAAATGTGCAAGATTATAGTCATGTTGGCTTGAAAGCTGGTGGGATTTTAAGATTATTACTCCCAAGATTGTTCCTACCTCAGGCAGGAACATCAACATTTTGTGAAGTTTGATGATTTTGTGAGATTGCTAGCTATTAAACAAATATTCATTCATTCATTTATTCATTCATTCGGCTCCTATGGATACCTAAAATAGATATGTACCAGGGAATCTATAGGCACTAATTTCCTGGCTGGGTGGTATTCCTCAGAATATTTCAATGACAATTTGATGGTCTATAAGAGTCCTAAAAGAAGCTGGATATCTTAGATCCTAAAAGAAATGAATATTGTATTATTTTTTTACATTTTATTGTTATCTTCCTCCTTCGAGTTCCATCCGCCAGTCAGTGTCGACTGGCAACTACGCGGAGGAGAGCCTTTTCAGTAGTAGCTCCGACCCTTTGGAACGATCTCCCCGTGGAAATTCGCACCCTCACCACCGTCCAGACCTTCCGCACAGCCCTTAAGACCTGGCTATCCCGTCAGGCCTGGGAATAAAGATTCTAATCCGTCCCCACCCGAATGATGAATGAATGTTGTGTTTTATTTTTACTTATGTAGTGTCTCATGTCTTGTCTTGTATTCCCCTCCTCATAAATTGTAAGCCGCCCTGAGTCCCCTCAGGGAAAAGGGTGGCCTATAAATAATAAACAAATACAAATACAAAATACAAAATCTTCAAAGAGGGTTTGCTATCTAATAGCTTCATTTGACTAGATAAATGCAGCATAACACACAAACATACACACACACCCCACACACAATATTTCCATTGCCCAATTCTTTCAGACTTAATAAAATATTTATAGTATCTATTTCTGGCAGCCGAATGTAAATTTTTCTGAGTTCCCCAAGTTCTACTGGAGCAGATATGTTCCACCATTCTAGGGATCTATGAAAGCCTCTTTACATTAGCCTTATTGTAATGCTTTACTTAAACATAAAATTGATGTATGTGTTAATGAGCAACAGATGGTGCCTCTGGGTGGCAATTGGTTTTAATGAAGGTTCCTTGACACTGCTAGCAATAATGGGCAAATGAGGTTCACATATGCCAACAATAAAACTCCACAGAGGTCAACAGATTTCATCTGTTTAAAATAGTAGAAAAGATTTTTGGAAGAAAAGGAAGGTTGGTCTAAGAATGCTTTTGTGCAATGTAACTTCACAATTTCTTTAACAGATAGTCCTCTAGTGTGTCCATTCCTTCAGTTACTGATTAAAGTTAGGCAGGGGTTAAATGTGTGGTACTTATGATCAGTCCCCAGAGTTCCAGCTGGTACAGCATTCACACAATCACAATATCATCAGTTCTATTTTTCTCTGCCACTTCGCACAAATAAAGTCAATGGGGAAAGTAGATAGAAAGTAGGAAGTCATGGTCATGTGAGGTTCTCACTTAATGATCTATATGGTCCTTGCTTAATGATGGCAACTGGAGCTATCATCAATAAGTAACACTTTATAACTGCATTGCTTAGCTATGGCAATTTTGGTCCTAATTGCTGTTGTAAGATCCAGGATTACATGTAAAATGAAACGTGATTATCTATGTAGCAATAGTATGTTTAAAAGTTTAGTATGTTTAGTAAGTTAAAAAGATGTACTTGATTCTTACTGAATTGTGTCTATGAACATTAGAATTATTTATATATATGTTTTCAGTAATGAATTCTTTAAGGAGTAACATCTGGAAACCCTGAAAGTTATGTATAATAAAATGTTTTAGGCTACATGGCAAATGGTTATGAGACTGCAGTAAACAAAGCCATAATCAGATCCAACTGTGATGTACCCTCATAATAAAAATACAAAACAAATGAAATCAGTAAATTGGGAAATTATCATAGTGTTTGTGCTTTTTTATATGATTCTACTCACTCGGATCTATCTGATATAGATATAACTACAAGTACTTTGAAAAATTGTTAACAGTACAAACTAGTTTGTGTCCATGCAGGAATATGTTCAGTAATTCTTTCATGTATATGACAGGGTTGGAGCCTGACAATCTAAATCTGGAGAAACCACATCTATTGAATTCAGTGATCCAGGCGACTATACATCATATCGCAGCCTAAATTTCAATAAAACCTATGGAATGTACATGCTTAATTCCTCAAATTTAATTAATCGTATGTGGTCACTAAGATGTGACAACAACTTGATGCAAATAATTAATCATCAATCACCATGGCTAGAATGTATCTGGAGTCACAAATAAGGCCAGTATTATCTTTTTATATATACAGTAAAATGTTCAACTACAACTTCACATTTTTTTAAAGCTATCATTTACTAACATAAGTTCTCCTAATGTTGATGGTTTTCCATTAATTCTATAAACAATTTAACTTGCTATAATTAATAATATTTTGATGTTGTCTTACATTTGTTCCAGCTGCCATGGGATTTCCAAGATCACAAATCACTGTTCTAGTTTCATTTTCCATCTTATAATCACAGCTCAGCACACGTAGTGCCTGTAACCAAAGAACACCAACATGGAGGTGAAAATTCAATCCAGAATGTGTTCTGTAGAAAAAATGAATGGCCTTCAGACAGCAAGATTACTGCTTATTTCAAACACCTGTACAGAACTCTAAAAATTCATTCATGAACTATAAAGTTGCCATTCGAAAAACAACAAACTAGAGATCTGCACAAATGTTAGCAGTGCTGAAGTGTGTGTGTGTGTGTGTGTGTGTGTGTGTGTTATGTCAAAGCACCTGATATGCCCAAATGTGGGAGGGAGCCTACTGCTTTCCTTTTTGCCTTTCAGCTCTACCCTAAGAGCCTTCCAGGCAGGAAACCATTTTTGTTTTGCATTTGTGCTGATAAATAAATAAAGGGAGACTAGTATAGATCTATTGCAAGCTGTTTAGCTCTCATCAATCAGCCATACCTTTACTGGGATTTGAACTTGGATTGTTTTTACATGTTAGACAGTTGTATTAGCCTCTAAGCCACAAGCTCTCCTCCCTTATCAGCCGAGTCAAGGAAATAAGTAAGTGCTATGTCAAAGAACCTGGTATGCCCAAATATATATAATTTGTTCTTTACTGCAAGTATTAAAGAAACAGGGAGAGATCACTGGAATTAGGTTTCACCATATCTCAGATACACTAGGTTGGAAAGTGAAATTAATAAAGCTATTTTGCCCTAATATTCTATTAAGAGAATTGGAATTCTGGATATAATACATTTTTCTGATCTCCATAGTTTAATTTTTTGTAGTGATATTTATTTTGGAAAGCTATAGAAACAAAAGCACACTGCCATAAAACAACATAAAATTAAATACAAAAATTTTATAAAATTTAAAAGGCAAAATTGCTGTAATCTTTAAAATGATACATATATGAAGATATAAGATTGGATGAGAAATTTGTTCAGCTTTTATTTACAGTAGTGGAAACTTGTTTTAGTAACATTTTATGAACCTAGGCATGAACTTAAAATACATTAATATACATACATAATGTATATTATAGGAAAAATGCTTGCAAAAATATGTGATAAAAGAAAATACACATACAAATATTTGTATTAGGATAAAAAGGCTTAAAATGTACATTTGTTTTTATCTGAACCTAATATAGAAAATTGTTTGAAGAAATTCAAGTTGGAAAAATGGCTCATGCCTATACATAAAGAGAGCAACTCTAATTTAATATATATGAATTTACAATCTTGAGGTATACCTCTAGTGCTCAATTCATTATAAATGACTCGTATCATAACATCTAGACAATCACCGAGTCATCAGGGCCACACATGATTTGTGTTTAGCTTAAATACTGAAGAAAACCAATCCAAAATAGCTTGGTATGTTGATGACTTTTCCTTGCCTAGTAAATACAATGCTAGCTTTTTGTGTATTATCCTTGATCTTATTTGTATCTTTGTATCATCTCTCTGAATGAATATAGTGAAGCAGGAGATAGTCAGCAGGAAAAGTTGTAAGACATTAGAAATTACATAAAACATCCTTCAATGAAATAAAAACACACCTTTTCTCTTTTTTACTTTAACACAACTCACTGGAGAAATAACATTCAAAAATGTATACAAAATGCCTTTAAAATCATAATGTGCTTGGAATGACTGCTATGCTTGTTACTAAGCAAAGTATCTGTTGCAATCTGATGCCTTCCAGATGTATTTACTATCATTGCCATCATTTACAAATGTTGCAGCCAGTAGAGTAAGCTAATTATTCCAGATGTGGAGGGGACAACACTGCTAGATACTAAAAAAGGTATCTGTGTATCTGTCCTGAAATACTATGCTGAAGACTCCAGTTCTATATAACCTGAGATATGATCTAAAATTGTAGCTCATAATTAGATACCCGTATGATATCAATACTGTTACTGTTTTAAAGAAATCATGAAATAAACTGAGAAGGATCTACAGCATTGTTAAAAATAACCACCTGATAATACATGATCTAAATATTAGTTTGAACTCATGTCAAGTTACAGTTCATATTATTTTGAAAGACAAATTTGGTCTGTGAAAAGGGTGGGACAACAATTACAAACTGAATTGGCTGACAATTCTATTGTCCAGATTGGCATATCTAGAAACAATTCTAAAACCTACAATACCTTAAAAGCAAATTTGTGTTGCTGTTTTAATCATAATACATGGCTTATGTTACAGCTATGGAAAGTATGAAAGCCTTGTGAATTAACCCCAGAATAATCTGGAATTGTTTCAAGTAGAAACCACTGAAAAGCATTGGAAAAAGTGATAACTTAGAACAGTTCTAATCTTTGCATCTGGCAAAAAAGGCTTTCATGACAATGGTTAATCAGTTATCAATTTGTACTTTCCCAAAAGATCAATGCCTTGTCTTTAGAAAATAATACTTATGTGTCAATAATATTATACAAGATTAAATATTTCAAAATCAATAAATGGCCTACAAGACCAAATTTTATGCCCACCAGTTACTTATTAGATTGTTTATTTAAAGTGACTCATGCCATCTCACAGTTAAGCATTTATTTTGCCTGAGTCAGAAGATGAAACTGATTTTAAAAATACAACAAGGAATATCTGAGCTCTGGAAAGCCACAATTTTTCAAATTCTCATAGTATCAATAGGATCACCAGGAAATATTTGGAAAATTATTATTGTTTTGCAGAAAGCAAATACAACCTCTCATTCAGGGATGGGCTTCAAAAATTTTAGTAAGCGGTTCTCTCGTGGATGCTGGGTGGGCGTGGCCTAGTTGGCCTCCCACACCACAGGGAAGGGCATTTTTGCCCTCCCCATTTTCCAGAGGATTTCCTTGAGCCTCTGGGAGGGCAAAAACGACCTCCCCAGGCTCTGGAGAACTCTGGAGGCTGGAAATGGACCCATTTCTGGCCATCCCAAATTTCTGGTAGACCTATTTTTCACCCTCCAGCTTCCAGCCTCTGCATAGGCCCTGCATCCAAAATGGGCCACATGGGGACTCCTGGGAGGGGAGGGCTAGGCGGGGCCAGCCAGGAATGGGATTTTGGGGCTTCTACGAACTGCACAGAATCTTAGCTAGAGCTTCTCCCGAACTCTCCGCACTCCCAGTAGCCCACTCCTGCGTCTCACAGTCAGCTATCAAAGTAAACAATTGGGGAGGGATTTTTTAGCTCAACCTGAAGTTACAGAAAGCTAAAGCATACTATTTTACTATACAGAGCAAAAATATCTTAAATAAGTAATAAGTAATAAATGAGTAATCTATTAAATAAATAATAAATAATGCAACCGATTACATAAAGTCAGGATTTTCTAAGAAATGGGTTTACAAACACAACGTAAACTTTTTGTAACTTTAAAAATGAACCATTTAATAGCATTATAGTAATTCCAATCCTGTTTGTGGTTAAATATATGGTTCCACCACAAAACCGCGGTCGACTAAAGCGCGCTCGATGAAACCGCGTACCTGACGTCATCACAGCGCGATGAAAAAAGCATGCTGTGAGCGGTAAAACTAAAATTAACACGTAAACCTAAACCTAACCCCCCCAAACCTAACCCTAAACCTAACCCTTAACCTAACCCTAAACCTAACCCTAACCCTTAACCTAACCCTAACCCTTAACCTAACCCTAACCCTAACCCTAACCCTAAACCTAACCCTTACCTTAACGTGAATCGGCTTGCTTTAAAAGCGCTTTTTAAAGCGCCCTTTTTTCTCCGCGGTCGTTGTTGTCGCGCTGCTGATGATGTCAGCGACGCGCTTTAATCGGACACACTTTAGTGGACCGCGGTTTTGTCGTGCCACGAAATATATACATATTTAAATATTTAAATCCTGTTTGTTGCTAAATATATTAATTATAGTTTAATTCAATTAAGTAATAATATTTTCAGAAAGTTTTTTCCAATAAAAAAAATATGTGGACACATTCTGTTTTCCTTTTTCGAGTATCGTACTTTAAATTATTCAAAATAAAGTTCATGATAAAAATTTCAACTGTTTGTAGTCAGATAAAATGAAATATTATTCCTGCCCAGAGGTGAATACACGAACCATCTGTGCACCTAATGAATAGAATTTCATCTTGTTTTCAAAAGAACCACTTCTTTATACTTTTTAAGTAAAATGTATTACCTCCAAATCAGCTTTTGCTATACAAAGCTATTGAGACATTTTCATAACCCATCTTCCCATAACTGCAACCATCTGATAAGGATTTATACTGAAATAATATAACGTCGTTTGAAAATCTGAAAGGAATTTTAGGAATATGTGAACCTTCAGTTCACTTCAAAAATAAAATTCCGAAGTGATTCATCTGAATCATCTTGTCAAATCCAGTCTTTGAACTGAACTTCCAAAATAATTTTATACACTAAAACAGGTGTATTTGAATTAATGAGGAGATCTGATACATACAGTATTTTTATTCAACTGAACTAAATTTTCAGACTGGACTGATGATTGGAATCAATCTTGCAAATCAAATTGAAAAATCTGAATCAAACTAATTATTAAAATTAAGTTCTAGCATATACTGAATGAATTGATATACGTCAGTTTATTTATTTATTATTTACATGGACTTTATTATTTATAGAGCATTTATATGCATTATAGCAGTGTTTCTCAATCTTGGAGACTTTAAGTCCTGTGGACTTCAACTCCCAGAATTCCCCAGCCAGCATAGATGGCTGGGGAATTCTAGGAATTGAAGTCCACAGGACTTAAAGTCACCAAGGCTGAGAAACACTGCACTATAGAGTTATTAGGTTTCTCCCTACCCACCCCATTCCCAAATGTTATAATTTTGTGTAGATTTTGGTTATAAAGCCTCCAGTGGAGACGAAGAAGTCTGCTGGCCATTACCTTGTTGTTCCGCTCAACACCTGTGTAATCTGCTTCTGGAGGTATTGTTATATGCAGCTCGGCTTCATAGGCACCTTCTCCTTCATTTCTTGAATTGATTGTAAGCATGAGATAGTTTTCTTCCCCAATTACAAGCTGATCCCTATCACTATAAAAAAATGTTACAATCCAATCCATTATTGTGAGAACAAGATATATGTTATTAGGCTAGAACTGCAATCAATATGTTTCTGTAAGCATTCCTGTGACAAACTCTGAGTGAAAGTAAATACTGTATAAACAGCTTTGCCCTAATGAAGCAAAATGTTTGCTCTTTTGCTTAAATAAACAAAGTTTCAAGAAGCAAAAATATACAGAAGGGATTTGGATTTTATAACTGCAAGAAACCTTTTATGCTGTACATTTGACAAATTGGAAAAAGTAAACTAAAGAGTAAAGTTAGCTCTCAACATGCAACATTCAAAATTGATTTCTAATTGCATGCATGCCTTTTCTAACTACTCTACTATTGTATACTTTCCCTGTACACATTTTTAATGAGCACCTTTATTCCATTAAGTACAATACATATGTTTACTTGTTCCAACTTACGGCATAACGGAAAGTTTCAAGTCAGGAATGCACACGTTGTCTTCTCCACAATCCACAAGAATGTATGCCTAAATTGTCCAAAACATGCATTGCTCATGTTAGGGCCCTTTGGCAGGAATTCCAGCCATTTCCTTTCTTACTTTTTGTTTCTTTTGATAGCCGTTATAAATATCTTCCCCCAAAGATTTTGATCCTTCCAAACCCTGATCTTAATACAACAAGCCACACTCAGTTACTTATGTATGTAAAGCCAGGTTGTGTTCTGAAAACTCATTATATATGCATATTTTTCCATTCCGAATCAAGGCTCTCACATCTTGTTATTGTTAGCTATGACTACAAGAATGAAAACTGTTTAAAAAGTCAGTTGGAGGAAAGTAACAAATTTAAGGTTAGTGTGGTTCAATTAACTCACCACAATGAACTAATTTGGCTCAAGTTGCTAAGGGAATGCTGAAACTGCTAAATAGACCATCTTATAGAATAAACTTCATAATGTGGTGGAATTTGCATGCAAAGGCACATACCTGTTTCTCTATTCTGTTTTCTTGGTAATAATTCAATATTGGATTCACAGCTAATACATCAGAAAATGTGGATTCATCCAGTTTATAGTTCAAGCTAATATTGATTGGAGACAATTTATCTCTAAATTCAGTTTCATCCTATAGGAATTAAATTATAGAAATCTAAATTTTGACCTATATCATCATTCTTCCTGAATGCACAAAATAAATATCTGATCTTCATTTCAATAATAACAGAATTAATATTCCAGTCCTATGATTATTTAGATGTTAGGATGACTACTTCCAATGGAATGCACTTTTCATCACAAATATGCATAGGCTCACAGGCTAAGACATTTAAAAAAACAAAGAGCAAGTTATTAATTTCTATTAAAACCTTTGCCTCCAGGTACAGTAGAAATGGCTAGCTAAATTTATTTAAAAATGATACAATGGTAAAAATATTGGACAGGATAAATCCAAATTCAAATCTACATTGTATTATGAAACTCATTAGGTAGCTTCAGTTCAACCATTATCTCTCAGAGTAACCTATGGGATTCTGTAGAAAAAAATGTGTGTAATATCCCCTCAGCTCCAGGAGGGAAGAAGGAAGGAAAGAAGGAAGGAAGGAAGGAAGGAAGGAAGGAAGGAAGGAAGGAAGGAAGGAAAATTCCTGTATGGTCTTCCAGATAGTTCTGGATTAATCAAGTAGATTTAGAACAAAATGAAACTTTCAACTACTATATTTATTTCTGTGCCCTTCAGCTTCCACATAAGCAATACCACAGGAACAGCTACTGAAATTGAATATATCTGATATTCTCGGAACATTTGTAAACACTATTTATACATTTAGGCAATATATATGTGAGTGTTACTACTATATCTGCATATATTTGATCTGAACTGGCACTAATATAGTTTATCTCATAACATGTGATGTTGAATACACTCCACATATTTTGTGGATTTTTAGATGTGTTTAAGTATTTTATATTAGCACATGAAAGCCATTTCAATAGTTGACATTTCTCAATTGACATTTCATAATTCATGAAGAAATAATTTACTATTTAATAGTTCTAATTCACGGATGTCAAACTTGATTGTGTCACATGATGTATCATGTTATATTGTGACTTTTTTGCCTTTGCAGAGCTGGGGTGGGGCTGGCCTTTACGTGGTACATCCAGCCCACAGGCCTCTAGTTTGACATCCCTGTTCTAATGTATCATAATGGCAAGCTACTAACTTTAGAGGAAACAATTTTGTAACAATTTTCTGTGATATTTTGTTATGTGACTGCCTTGTCACAGAAAATTCTGGGGATGTATACTAGAGTCTAAACTGATATTAAATAGGGTTGTATTACATTTCATCACTGCCAACTGTGAGTTGGTTATACATTTTCATGTGGTTTGCATTGCAAAAAATGTGATTGGCAATAGTGATAAGACAATATTTCATATACTTCAAATACTGCATTGTAATTTGAACAATCAACAAGGAATCTTTTGAGAAAAAAATCAAAACAATTTCTTTTATTTTCACTAAAATATTGAACACTTATAAAGGAAAATTGCATCCTTAATTTGTGCAATCTATATAGATTAAACATTTTCTTAATGCCATATATACATTCCAAATAAGGTAAATGGGATTAAATTTATATCTTAACATGGTTAACATGCAACTCATCTCATTATTTTTCCCCATCATTTGTTGACTGTTTCAGTAAAGTTGGTTATCTTTCAACTATTATAAGTTTGAAGGAGAAAGTTTGTGGAAATTATTATTCCAAAGCCATACAATTAAAATACATCAGATTTACAAAACCAATTACATTTTAAAATTTATTTTAGTTGTCATTGTGTACTCATCCATATTCAAACTTATTTCAGAATAGCTATCCTGAAAGTATGATTTTCTTGACCAGCAAAGAACAAAACTTACTCTAAGATAAACCACAAAGTCCTTGCAAGTGGGCCAATTCTGTGCAGTTATCATGAAGGAGAAGACATGTTGTGACTGATGATAATCAAGGAAGAGAGTCCTCTTAACAGCTCCTTTGGTTTTTAGTGAATCTAACTGTAGTTCAGCTTTCAGAACTAAAGAACATTAGGAAACAAAATGTTGTAAAAGGCAAATACTGTCCTTCACATTCTGCTCTGATTTAAGAGAAAGCTGCTGTTTTCGTAGCTTCTATACATTCAGTGAATCAACTGCCTTTTTCTATAAATAGGATATCCAGGTATTTCTTATGGTAATGTAAAGAAGAAAACAAGGATTATTTTGAATTCTTCACTGCCTTTTAACCAGAAATTCAGCAAAACAAAAATGTACAATATTCCTACAATATTCTCCCAAGTAAAATGGTTCTAAATTTAACATTTTTTGACAGACTCAATGCTTTCATGGCAGAACTAATACCAGCTTTATTCCCACAAAGATAGATGTGATTGTCTCTATCGTCTTACAAGACATTATTTAAATGGCTAAATTCTATGCTGGGTTAAGTGCTGGGTTAAGTGGCAACAGCTGTCCTCATCCCACAGAGGCTCTACAGTCCTTTGACTGTAGTTCAGGCAAACTGGGAAAATAACATAATTGTTGCAATTGCCTTCATCCAGCTCTTCTCTTCAGACTGAGATATTAAGGAAATGCCAAAGTTAGAAAGTGCCACTACTCTTCCTCTCATGCCCACCTATTCCCTTGTGCTTTCTAGCTGTGGCCCTACATTAAATCTTCCATAACCTAGACCAGGGGTGTCAAACTCGCGGCGCGTGGGCCAGATGAATCATATGCTGGCCATGCCCACCTGCAGTTTAGTGAAGGAGAAAAAAGTCACAATATGTCACTTGGCGATAATGTGATGCCGCGAGTTTGACACCCCTGATTTAGACCAAGATCTTTCAACATTTGTTCCATGGAACCCTGAGTTCTGTGAGAACTTGATGGGATAAAAAAAGTAAAAGTTCACTTGAACCCAGCCAATTTTCTATCACCATTGCTTTGACTCTGAAACAGGGGTTCAAGGATTTGTTTATTTATTTGTAATTTAAAGGTTCTGCAACCTGAAAAAGCTCGAAAATCCTTAAGAAGAAGAATCTAGAGCAGTGTTTCTAAACCTCATTTTAAAGATATGTGGGCTGCAACTTGCAGCTGGCAAGCTAGAGTTGAAGTCCACACATCTTAAAGTGGCTGGAAATTCTTGTCCTTAAAGATTCCATAATTTTCTCTTCTGGGTCAAACATTTACTGTCATCTAGGTATACTCAGTGTGGAATAAAAACTAGTTACTTTCCTAGTACCTCCCTTGCTAGCCTAAGGACACAGCCAGTGGCGAAATTCAATTTTTTTTTACTACCGGTTCTGTGGGTGTGTCTTGGTGGGCATGGCAGGGGAAAGATACTGCAAAATCTCATTCCTACCCCACTCCTGCAGGAAGCATATTGCAAAATCTCCAATTCCACCCCACTCTGGGGCCAGCCAGAAGTGGTATTTGCCAGTTCTCCGAACTACTCAAAATTTTCGCTACCAGTTCTCCAGAACCTGCCTGAATTTCACCTCTGGACACAGCCCTGCTTCAATTTCAGAGCCATCAGAGTCTTCTCCTCATAGCCAAGTGAAAATATAAGGCTATAGACATAGCTGGGTCATCTTGAAAAATTCAAAATCAGCACTAGCAGGGATGTACCATTGAAGCACCAAGCCCTGTCAGTCTTTATGAGTTCTTTGCTATGTAATATATGTTGCATCCATTTCCAGCTGTACTAGAAAAAGCAGCAATCTGAAGATCACCTAATCTGAGAGAAGTTTATTTAAAATGGAATATGAACCATTTACCACTAAGTAAAAGCTGGATATTAATTCAGAAACATGTTTCGTGGGCTTAAATTTTGTCTCACTATCTTGTTTCCTATAGCACAGGGACTACAAAATATACACTTATTCATTTGTTTACTAATTTAGGGTGGCTGGCAGAATGGTTTACAAACAGAAAGCAAGCAACAAAACAAAACCAATTAATCAAAACAAATTCAAATTAAGAAGAGCTAATAATGAGGACTCTGTCTGACGATTACATATTAACCAAGCAACCCAATACTTTTGTAGTATTTTGCACGGATTGCCAGTTGGTTAAAAGATGCAATTCAATAGTCTGATCACCTTCAGAGTCTTATGCGGTTTGGAATGTGGGTCATCCCAGTCAAGCATGCTAAAAAGTGTGCTTGCTAAGATTCCCATTCTTTGTCAGGTCTTTGTCAGAAAGGATTTTAAGGCCAGCATTCTCTGCAGAGATTTCCCTTCTGTGATATGCTTTCATCAAATTTTAGACGTACATTACCTTTTAATACATGGCAAACTATTAAATACATTTTTCCATTGCATATTTGAAGACTGCTGTAGAAATAGACAAAATCCCTCAGTATGGAATGAATTTTCTTATTGATGAATGCTACATGATGGTATAATTATAATATTCTATCGTAATTGTTTATTTTGTTTATGGTTTGATGTATTTAGTAGTTTTCTTTTATTGTTGCATTATTCTGTATTTATTCATCTAGAACTTGTATGACCTTTAGTTATTGGAGAGTTATAGAATTTGAAGTTCTGGAGGACTCTAGGCTGAGAAAGGTTGATTAAAGCTTTTATCACTAACACCATAAAGCATGCTTGTTATTTGCATTCCTGGCATTAGGACCTAGCTTTAAGAATGTTAACATCTGGCTGTAAGAATGTAAAATTGTGCAGACCACAAAGATATCTTTAATTTTTAAAATATTCCTTAATGTTCTCATGAACATTTTCAAACTCGCCCCAAATCCCACAACCTTAAATGTTAACATGCAATATAAAAAAAGGACTTACTTATATTATCTGAAAAACCTGGACTTTGAAAACTTGCACAAACTGCTACAGTAAAACTGTAAAGAAAAGAGAATAACACTCTTATGGAAGTTCTTGTAGACATTAAAAAAACTTATTAACACATCTGTTTTCTTTTGTCTTCTCCTTTACAAAACCTGCCATATAAAAACATACTGCTCAACTAGCGTTTTGATTATTCATCCATCCATCTTCCATCTCTACTGCTTAACTAAAAAATTCTGATTTTTTTCTAAATTATCTTCTTAGACAACATTACTAAATAATAATGCTTTAAAAAAACAAGGATCTCAAGCTCCTATATACCTAGACCTATGCCCAATCATCTAACAAAATCAATATAAAAATTTCAAAAATTTAGATATGATTTACACATTTTTTGTTCAAATAACATTTATAGATGCACAAACCCCTAATGGATGGATTTAAAGAAATCTATTTTACATATCCTAATTAAATGGCAGCTCATCCTTTTTAGAGATGTTATCCCTTATTATTAAATCAATTGTGGGTTTTTTTGCTTATTATGATTGGTTTGCTGTTTAATTAATCTGTTGTAAATTTGGTCTTAGCTTCCAGGGATAATCACACTGTGGCATTAAATATTTTATATATCTCATTTATCTGACAATTGCCTAGTCATTTTTACAGATTAAATCATAATCACATAAATCAAAGAGCCTTTTAGTTATTTGACTTTCTCATGTATATAAATATTATATAAATTGTATAACTATAATATAATTTTTAATCAGTCTATTTTCATAAATAACCACATATAGATGGTTAAATCATTATAGACCCATCACCACCACCGCAGATATATGCATACACGAATTTTGTGCCACAGAGCTACAATTTACTGCTAATCAATGTCGCTGGTAATTTTATTTATATATCACATTTAGAAACTGTCCTTCTCCCTCATAGAGAAACTGTTAACAGCATGTATTCTTCTTGGGGATAATGGTTTAATTCACACCATCTAATTAGATATTCATACATAGCTAAACACAAAGTAAATTCAAGTTAAAGTCAGTTTCTGAGTGTAGTAAATAAGGCTTATTATCACTGACTCTAAAAATATTTAGGAAGTGTTATTTTATATTTTCCCAAGGATTATCAAATTCTTCTGGTTCTTCTGAGAAATGAATAAGATAATATTTCTTAAATGATGGATTAAAAAAAGGGGTGAAAACAAGAAACTTGCATGTGTCATGCCAATTGCATGTGACTATTATACCTAAGTATGTAGATTAGTCGGATCTGCTCTGAAAGGCTAAAATATTTAAGGAGCTGATTATCACTTATAAAGCCCTGATTGGCACAGAGATTGTCTCTCCCTGAGAGTATCTGTTCCCCTAGATCTGATAGGGTATAGGTGTTCCAGGTTCTTATGTTAAATATGTAACATTTAGTGGGACCGAGAAAGCAGGTCCTTTTGGCAACCATTCTGCTTTGGAAACACCATTCCTCTTGAGATCCAACAGGCCCTGTTTTCCTGTGTTTCTAAATAGCTTTAAGGCCTTGGTTTTTCTTACAAGTATTGGAACACTGTGAGGTTGGGACCCAATAATGTTCCTTGTGCATATGTGGGGACATATGTGGAGATATTGTTGTTTGTAAGCTGCATAGGATAGAGGCTATATAAAACAACAAAGAATCTAACCTTGGGTCAAATAATGAATGAATCAATCCATCCATCCAATGACTTACAATAAAGACACCAAATAAGGCCGGTATAGGACTGATATAGGACTATGCCATAGGTGGTATTCAGCTGGTTTCTCTGGTTCGTATGAACTGGTAATGGCAGCTGCGGAAGGCTCCACCCATCCTCCCTGACGTAATGTGCGAGCAGTGTGCATGCACAGAAGATGGTGCGTAAGTGCAGATGCGGTGCGTGCGAGTGAAGAGAGAGGGAGAGAAAACACACTCACATCTGTGAACCAGTAGGGAAGATAAGTGAATCCCACTATACCACTCCTATAGTAGTTTAATTCTAATTTAATAATTTAGGACAACTGTTTTGTGTCTCTAGGACATCAGCACAAAACAGTAGTCGTATTTATCTTAAGTCTCATTACTTATTGAAATCGTCTTATTGAGATGATAACATGGCAATATAAACTTCTTGAACATGTAACATGTACATGCAATTACGATTCATTTTATCTATATGTTTTTTGGATAAAGCATGTACAACTTAGCATCAAAATGCTGCTTCTTTTGATTGATGCCACATTTTGCTGATTTACAGCTATTCCTGTAGAAATCTTGAAGATGGGAAGCACAATAGGGCACAGAAATTGCCCCAATTGTGCAATTTTATCTTATCAAATGCTAGCCAGACTAAGACTATAGAGAGGGGACATGGTGGTGCGCACACTTAGTGACATTGGAATAGCCAGGTAGAAATGATCTGCACTCTAAAGGTTTGAGTCAGGTTCCCTGAGATGGATTGAGCTCCCATCACTTGATTCCTGGCTCTTGTCCACCCACTAGTTTGAAAGCATGCAATAGTGCAAGTAAACAAATGGGCGCCACTTCGGTGGGAAAAAAACTTAGCTGTGTTCATTTGTTTGAGGGTGGAAGTCAACGCTGGATGCGAGGCATCATGACACAAGGCAAGACATGACTGGTAGAGAAGCGAGGAACAGCCAGCAACCCAAGCACCACCAGTTATTTGGTATAAATCTAGTTCACCTCCCACAGTGCATCAAGGATGGATATGCAAGTGCCAGACAGAATGAACCTAGGGCATGTAGGATGGGTAGATCTTTCTGACATTGTATAGCATGTGCTAAATAAATAAATAAATGCTATAGAGACTAAGGCATTACTAACTTAATTTGAATTCAACTTTCTGCTTACTACATATTTTATCCAAACTTTAAATATTTTTTTATAGTTTCTCTATAGAAAACAAAATTCATACATTTAATAACAATTGTCCATCTGATTCAAAACAATATTTTATTTATACTAGATACTATTTTTACATAATAATTCAAATCTTTAGATCTCTTGACCTTTTTAATGGTTCATATGATTTTTCATTCATTTTATCTTGAAATGTCAATCAAAAGACATTTTGCACAAGTTGCACAGCTGGCTAAGAGATACAGAAACTTATCCCATGGTGTAAAGGAAATATTTGTCTCTTGGAGTTTCCCTAATAATTGTTTGCATATGTATAACATGAGGTTTTAACAACTACAGAGAAAAATTACAGAATGAAAAACTAGCAGCTGTTCTTCAATCATTTGGGAAGACTGCATTAATTTTTTTATAGTAAGAGTTAAATCTCCAGGGCACTGTATTTTATAATGTAATAGTGCACTACCATCATGAATCAACAATTGTATTCATGTAACATATCCACTGATACATCTATCAGAAAAATCACATTTAAACCATCTTTTTCTCGTAAAATCCAATTCAAAAATGCTAGGAGAATCAGAATGTAATTGAGTTCTTCCCACTTAGGTAGGACAAAAAGAATTCTGATATGATTAAATTAATTGAGCAGTAGCTAGCTGTAGTCTCTCACGAATTAAATTCTTTGTAAATTAAAAAGAAACCAGCATGTCATAAAAATATATTTGAAACCATATAGCTATTTGTGTGGAACTATTTGGGTTTTATAAAACAAAAATTTATAATGATGTTCAAAAAAAATAAATCTGTAATTAATATCAATTTTAACTTGCCTATTATTTTAGCTTCCTTAAGTATAAATTAAGCATCGGTATATTTTTGTCATCTCCAATTCCTTGGCCTTAAAGTGTGTTGGATTTCAATTCGCATAAGGCTACATTGATTATGCAGCACAAATCTAGAGGACACTGGGCTGGGAAGCTTGTAACAGAGTTATAATGCATATATTTCTTGTTTCAAGCTAGAATTTCAGATGATTACAATGGTTAGGAAGCATATATCTATACAACACTTATGCAATCTATTTTCTTTACAGGTGTTAAGTTCCAGATAGGTAAATAAAGAAGCAAATAAACATAAATAAACTATGTTTCTCATTCTGCCCTGAAGAAGTATTTTGCAAACTGAACTAGGAAAAGATGGGGGGAAAATAAATGGTGCCTATTTAAATCACTTAAGATTTGCAGATGATGATGATGTTCTCAGACAACAACATCAGAACAACAAAGAAACATACAAGAGCTGCATGAAGCAGGAGAACCATTTGGCTTAAAAATAAACCTGAAGAACAGCCAGGTTATGTTTAATAAATTCACTAAAGAAAGAAAAATAGGAACTAGGCATAGTAGACCATTACATATACCTTGGCCAATGTATCTCAATGGAAGGTGATACAATAAAGAAAATTGAATGACATGTTGAATGTGGTTGATAGGCATTCGGCAAGCTGAGCCTAATTTTTAAGAACAATCTCCCTCCTATGTCTGAAGAGAAAAGTTTTTGATCAATTTGTGTTACCTGCTTTAACATAAGCCAGAGAAACATGAACATTTCTTTAAAAATGTTGCATTTTTCCAGGCAAAATATTTAAACAACAGCTTCTTATAATGATATCATAGGATTTGCACAGCTGACACCAGCTGGAGCATAGCAAAACTCAAAGAAGAAATGCAAGATCAGAACATGTGGAGAGACCTCAGATTAGCCTCTCAGATTTGCCAGGAGTTGGACTCAACTCAATGTATAACAACAACAACAACAACATCATCATCATCATCATCATCATCATCATCATCATCAACATCATCATCATGCTTTGCATAAGATTTTTTTTGAGATTCTGTTCAAGCTAACTAGGATCGTAAACTGATATAATGTGGAGATTGTGTAGCTTTGAATTAGCTTGGTCATAATGTAAGAACTCAATGAGAAAAATCATTTTGCAAGCAAACCAGGAAAGCTCGCCTGCAAAAAGTTATTTATTTTTTCCAACTTACCAGGCTACTAAGGTCATAGAACCAGGAAGCTGACAGGTTTTATTTTCTGGATTTACAATCACTGGGGAGAGCAGAAGCTGAGCATTTATCGTCACAACTGGTCTTGCTCTGAAAGGCAATCAAAAGTAAATCAAAACATATTTTAAAAAACACAAAAGAGAAGACAAAAGGCGACTTTTTCCATTTCTATGGATGTTCATGACATTTAGAAATACAGAAAATATGAATTACACATTATGTATACAATAAACATTCAAAACACCAGCAGGGACATGTATACAAAATACCCACATCAAGATGAGACAGATTTGTCTAGAGGGATGATGCACAAAATTCTACTTTAAATGTTAATGATTCACTCATGTCTGCACATATGATAGCATCTCTCTGATTTTTATTGATAGCAGTTAGCCAAATACTCTACAGAAAAAGATGCATCAGTAGGAGAAGGTGGCTGTTCTTGTTACCAAGATTTGAAACAGCAGGGATTTATTTTAACAAATAAACAAATAAAATGTATGCATCACATTCCAACAAAGTTCAAAGCCAAATTGTAAAGCTATAGTTCCCAATTGTGTGCCACAATGCCTCAGGGTGCCACAGCAAACTCAGAAGAACTCCACAGGATAACACAGTGATATCCAACATCTGTCGGAGACCACACAAACTTTGAACCTAGAGGCACCATGAAAAATTACTGAAATACTAAGGGAATTGTTAACCAATAAAATTTGGGAATTTTTGTCTCAGGGTGTTACTTTATACAATTTGAACACAATAAATTTTAAAAACAATCTTATGCATATTTACTCATATAAATCTGAGTTCAGTGATATGCTATAGATTACAAACTTGAATTCAATAAATGAAGAACCATTTTATCAAAAAGTATTTATAGAGTGGATCATTTGAGATTAATGGAATTAAGTAAATCATGAAGTCATCTGAAATCACCGTTTGATGTCACAATAAATGATATTTTAGTGACAAAAAACTAAAATGTTGTGTTATAAAATAACTATTTTTAAACCAGTTGTCTGCAGGAATATCTGATGTTTTTATAGACAGGTTTGCAAATAAAAATTGTATAAGTCAGTAGCAATCCAGGTACAGGCATCGATACCAGGTACATGGCCTTCGATACCATCGACCATGGTATCCTTCTGCGACGGTTGCGAGAGGTGGGAGTGGGAGGCACCGTTCATCGGTGGTTCTCCTCCTACCTCTCGGACAGGTCGCAGTCGGTGTTGGTCGGAGGACAGAGATCGATCCCTAGGCCCCTCAATTATGGGGTGCCGCAGGGTTTGGTCCTGTCCCCCCTCCTATTTAACATCTACATGAAGCCACTGGGTGAGATCATACACCGGCACGGATTAAATACCACCAATACACGGATGATACCCAACTGTATCTGTCCGCCCCGTGCCAACTCAGCGAAGCGGTAGAAGTGATGTGCCAGTGCTTGGAGACTGTTAGGGTCTGGATGGGAATGAACAAACTTGCACTCAATCCTGACAAGACTGAGTGGCTATTGATGCTCCTTCCCAAGGATGGTCCAGCTACTCCATCTCTCAGCCTGGGGGGTGAAATTAATTGCTTATCACCTTTAAATCCCTAGGGCCAGCATACCTGCGAGACCGCCTACTGCCACACTCCTCCCAATGGCCGGTAAGATCCCACAGGGTGGGCCTCCTTCAGATGCTGTCAGCCAGACAATGTCGGCTGGCGGCTCCTCGGAGAGCCTTCTCTGTGGCTGCTCTGACCCTTTGGAACAAACTACTCCCAGAAATCCGAACCTTACCCACTCTCATGGCCTTCAGAAAAGCTGTCAAGACCTGGCTATTCCGGCAGGCCTGGGGCTGTTGACCTCATTGTTGAGGCCCAGCCCCAACCGAAACGAATGTATCTTTGTTGTTTTTAACCTGCCTTTTTAAAATTCTTATTCTCTTTTATTATTTTTCTTTCCCTCGTTGTAAGCCGCCCGGAGTCCTCCGGGATTGGGCGGCCTATAAATAAAATTAAACTCAAACTCAAACTGACAGCCGTGACCAGGGGGGCTTTTTACCAGGTTTGCCTGGTACGTCAGTTGCGCCCCTTTTGGATCGGGATGCTCTGTGCCGTCGTCCTTTCTCGCCTGGACTACTGTAACACCCTCTATATGGGGCTGCCCTTGAAGAGCACCCGGAAGCTTCAACTGGTCCAGAATGCGGCTGCGCGGGTTGTCATGGGGGCACCCATGTACTCCCATGTTACACCTCTTTTAGGCGACCTGCACTGGTTACCGGTTGTCTTCCGGGTGCGATTCAAGGTACTAATTATGACCTTTAAAGCACTCCATGGCTTAGGCCCAGAGTACCTGCGAGATCACCTACTGCCACCGGTAGCCTCCCATCGTCCAGTGCGATCCCACAGAGTTGGCCTCCTCAGGGTGCTGTTGGCCAGACAGTGTCGACTGGTGACCCCCAGGGGGAGAGCCTTCTCTGTGGGAGCGCCTTCCCTCTGGAATGAGCTGCCCCCGGAGCTTTGTATAATCCCCGACCTCCGGTCCTTCCGACGCGCCCTAAAAAGTTGGCTTTTCCAGCAAGCCAGCCTGGCCTGAACAAAACAAATCAAAGTATTGATTATTGTTAATTTTAATTTTAATTCTTTTAAAAAAATGTGTCATTGTTAATTTTAATTGGGTTTGGGGATATCCTATTTAATTTCTTTTTAAGTTTTGTAGTATGTGTTTCTTTTAATGTTGTACGCCACCCTGAGTCCTTGGGAGAAGGGCGGCATATAAATTGAATATACCTCAACCTAAAAGAAGCAAATACATTATCACTATTTAAAAATACATCATAATTCTCTACATCTGTTGGGACTCAGAAGAAGGGCCTTCTCCATGATGACTCCCTTCCATTGGTAGGGAGCCACTAATTTTCCTTCAGAAATTAGACTGGCTCCCACTCTCTTGCATAAGGGCCTGAAGACGTGATTTTGTTAGCAAGCCTGGGAAACCAAGAATGGGATGTAGCCCATAAAACAGTTGATTTGCTGTGATGTCAAAAAGGGAGGTTATTATTTTTTTATTTTTTCTACATTGTATTTTTATTGTCCGTAAGCAGTCTAGATTTTCCGGGATGGAGTATGCAGTTATATACTTTTTCATTCATTCATTCATTCATTCATTCATTCATTCATTCATTCATTCATGAATGAATGAATGAATGAATGAATGAATAAATAATAAATAAACTAATAAATAAATAAACTAATAAATAAATAAAATCTTAACATAAACTCAAATTGTCATGAACACTCCATGAAGATTAATTACCCCAAGAGCTTCTCATATGTTGATACAAAAGATTCTAAAAATTAATACAAAATGAAGAAAATGAAGAATATTATGGCGTGCCTTCAAACGCAAATTAATTAAAATTGAACGTACAACAGAGTTATTTTATATGGCCATTTAGTCTGTGGTGATAATTATGTGGAAACCATTACCTTCCTACTGCCATCAGAATGGCTCTTGCATGAGCAGTGAAGGAACTGGCTCTGTGGAGAAGATTCCAGAACCCCTATTGCAAAGTGAAAGAATGGAAAGTCCAGACAGATATGTGCCTGATTCTACAGAGCTGCACCCAGTTCATTGCTCTGCACTGGGGTTCCCAGTGACTCATCTGCTCGCCTGATCCTATCAAGTTGTCATTTGTTTGAGGTGAGTGGCTAGAAATTGAACAAATGTACTGAGTGAGTGAACGGGTGGGTGGATGGATGGATGATCCTGCTCTCTGACGCTCTGTGTTAATAATGGTGATTGATAGCTAGACTATTGCTGTTTGCTTCTTCAACGCATTTTTATAATCATTATTCTTAGATCATGACTTCATGGTTTACAATAAAAAACCCATTAAAAAGTGAAATAAAAAGGCAATCAACAATAAAAAATGATAATGTATGATTAAAAAGGCCAGGAGAGAATCTCAGATCTTATAGACAATGGAGTCTTCTCACCATGACTGAAAACTTATGTGTAAAACTGCCTCAACAATGTAATATTTCTTCTCAAACACACATAGAACTTTTGCTCTTTTTACTACATTTCATCTTTGTGATTAATATACAAGGAAAATGGAATATTTTTTTAGATTGTTTTATGGTGTAAAATAGATGACAGATCTTAAGCCAAGTGGACAAAAAGCCAAAAAAGAAGAAAGGTCAACACAGAAAGAGCAACTGGAACAGACATCGCTATAATAAGTGAATTAATTGTCTGGTTTTTTGTTAACCGTTTTAGAAAAAAACTTTTAAGAAGAAGGTGATAAACCAGCATAGGGTTCATTTCCTTTCCAAATCCATAATCTTTAATAGCATAGAAAGCAGATTAAAAAACCCCAACTAAATACAGCAGAAAAGTATAGCAGTAGTTAAATTCAATGTTACATAATGGTGTAAAATCAACTTAAATACTAACCATCAACTCACCAACCGTAACTCATCAACTTTTTCAAATATACTACAGCTTCAGATGGTAAAGATCCCTGTTATATAACTGTATGTAAAATCATTCTTTGATGATTACACAGCCTTATAAATCCAATAAATTCAGTTTTATTCCTGTTATTCCAAAGTAACTGATTTGTTTCTACAAAACAGAAACCTTTTCCAGAAATATTTTGGTTCTGTTTTGAGTACAACTATAGTTTGAAAGAGTAGGCTTCTGAAAGAACAGTTTTGCAATGTCAAAAACATTTTACATATGTATGTTTCTTATTAAAAGATTAAGGATAGAGATAGTAGGAATATCTAACATTGCATACCTGTAAACAACTACTTTTCCAACTCCAAATGCACCAACAATTAGATCTGTGGGGAAAAATACATATACACATTCTTAGAACTGGGGGGAAATAGAATAATAATTGCAATTGACATTATTGATATGAAAACCAATAAAATGACTAAATTTAAATATTGTGGAAACACACAACTTCACAGAAACATTCATTTTTCTAAATTTATTTTAATTCAGATTTCAGGCACATTCTTTTGGATTGGATTGGATTGGATTTATTACATTTATATGCCGCCCTTTTCCCCGAAGGGGACTCAGGGCGGCTCACAATTCAATCAGGGAAGGGGGTACAGACAGGGGAATAAAAAGATGAGACATAACAATACAAAATTTAAAAACACACAACAACCATACCATTCGAGAAGGGGGGCAAAAACTCTTTAGCCCCAGGCCTGTCGGAACAGCCAGGTTTTAAGGGCTTTGCGGAAGGCCTGGAGGGTGGTGAGGGTTCGAATCCCCATGGGGAGCTCGTTCCAGAGGGTCGGAGCAGCCACAAAGAAGGCTCTCTTCCTTTCTATATGAGCACTCACATTCTTCAATTCTTTAAAAAACGACTTAGCTTCTACTCAAGTATCAGAGTATTTTTTACTCCTCTTCATTATTTGTACAACATCTTATCCCTACTCTTTTCCATGCCCAAAATAATAATTTCAGCTAAACAAAGAAATCAGGCCATAAAAGTCTCTAAGCTAATAGTGAGCCCAAATGGAGACGTGGATGCTGGGGAAGAATTAAGACAAAGATTTGTAAGCCTAATAATGGTTGGAAGATAATAAAAATATAAGCCGTGCGGTAGACTTCAGACTGAAATAATTCAATTGGTTTTAACATAATTGTTTTTATATAATTTCATCTCTTACTATTAAACAAGATACAATACTAAATAAAACAATACTTTAAAAAATAATTATTAGGATCTTTCAAAACAGGTCTCTTTGTGCTTTTCATAAATGTGAACAGCTCCACAGAAAATTGACTGATTTCCTTCTTTAGCTTGGTCTGGCTAAGGACTACGTTAAACATCCTGAATGCCAAAATCATTAATGAGTTTTATAAACATTTTGAATTCTGCAAAAGAAAATAATCACAATCAAGTGTTCAAGCTGTCTACATTATCAGAATATTTGGCAGCACTGTTATCCTAAAAATAGATGTTTTAGTGAATACTGTCGTACTTCTTCCTAGAAAATACACAAGACACAATTTGCTGGCTGAAAGCAAAATGTTTGACATATGCAGAATATTTTCATCAAATTAAAATATTACATTACTAAATTAGATATCTATGTCTTTTCTGGTAAAACCTGAAGAAAAACTGGACATATTTTTTTTTAAAAATGATACTAATTTATTTTTAAGGATTCAGCTTTTATTTCCTCTGCTTATTACTAAATAAGAACAAATCTTCCTAGTTTTGATTCAAAGAGAAAAATCTATAAAAATCATTTAGAATATAGCTGTAATTCCACAGGGTTTTGTATTTGGATTCTACGTGTGCATTTCTACTTCCTAGAAGAATTGCCTTCTATGGTTATGACTCAATTTTTAGAAAGTAATTAAATAACCATAATAAAACAAAGAGATCTGCCAAGATGTCTAATACTTTGTACAGATAAGGAAGACTGTATTGCTAATTTTGGGGTCAAAATTAGCAATAGTCATAAGGGGACATACTGTTCTCTAGTACTAACCACAATTGTGGGAAGGATGAATTTTTTTTTAAAAACCCATCTATTTGCTAACCTGGGCTTTTGTTGTTACATAGAATTTGATAAAAACATGTTGCATTATTTTAAGATGTAACAGAAGAAAAGAATAATTACTTTAATTATACTCAATAATAAAACCCATTGTACACTAGACTCTAAAAATATGCTAGTTTGTCATCTTTACTGCTTCTTGGGATTTGTGCTATAGCTGTTTTGACATGTTTACTATGTTCTTCTAAAATCTGGAACTATATAACACTTTCTATTACATAAATTTAAAGGAGCAAGACAACTGGAACTAGGTTGTGATTAGCCAGCTACTAGCATCTGACTTTCATGGCTTGTTTGCAATAGGGTTTGCAGCAACAGATATTGTGCAAAGCAGCTCTATTTCCTTCTTTGATTTCCTTTTTCACTGAATGTTCCCTTGCTTTTATTAATGCTTCTGAATGCACTCCATGAAACAATGATCCTAAATGAAAATGTGATAATTGTAGACCTCCTGATCTTTAGCTTACAAACTGTATTACTACTTTATGTATTCCAAACCCCCTACAGTGGGTTTGAAATGCAGTGAAATGCAGTGACATGCGGTGAGGTTTATGGCTGGTGAGGCAGTCCTCTCCCCTGACACCCCACTGACTAAAGCATTTTCTTTCGCCCGCCTGAGCCTAAAGCACTTTCTTTCACCTGCCTGAGCTCGCAGCAGCCCGCCCGAGCTCTGCCACAAGTACAGGCAGGCGAAAGAGACTTTTTTTCGCCCGCCTGTGCTCGCCTCGCAGCAGAGCTCAGGCGGGCTTCCACGAGCTCAGGCGGGCAAATGAAAGTGTTTTAGTCAGTGGGGTGTCGCGGGAAAGGAGAGAATGTCTGAGCATTGCATTTATTAAAGAAAAAAGAAAAAAAGGAAATTTGAAGGAAAAGAGGGAGCATGGGGTGGGGGTGGGGGGCATCACAAACAGAGAAACAGAGGAGGAAGAGTGAGCGCGACGCTGCAGCTTTAAACAGAATGACAGAGTTGAAGCCTCTAAAAAATGCACCGTCTACTATGAGGCAGGAGAACTGCGTGCCTCAACTACCTCGGGATTTTTTAGGCTTTTAACCCTTGCTTAACTCTGCTCGAGCGCCTAAAAGTCAGACTAGATGAGGTATGCAGTTCTCCTGCGTCATAGTAGAGGGCGCTTTTTTAGAGGCTTTTTTAAACAGGCAAGTCATTCACGGTGTGGCAGCAGCTAGCTAGCCCTCAGCACTCGCCTTTTCCCGTTTACATTTTTTTCCTTTTCATGATTGACAGTGGTGAGGCTGTGCTTCCCCTGCCTCCCCTGACTGCACGTCACTGCTAGTATGTTAAAATGATGGAAGGTTTCCTGCTATACATCTTGATGTACACACAGATGACCTACAAAGAATACTATTCTTGAAAATGGATTATTCTGTTATTAAGTTCCTAGTTCCTATTAGCCACAGCTGTTGCTTTTGTATTGTTAGTCCGTCTAGATAACAGCAGCAAATTGATCTTGGTTGAACCTGAAAAGCTCAGCATGCTTAGATCTATTAAATCTTGAGGTAATCAACAAGTTCTCGGCCTGTTGGCTAGATTTAAAAATAAAAAAATCTGAAAAGACGTTAGTGGCAAACCACTTCCATATTGTTGTCAAAAAAACCTTATGAGGTGACCAGGAAACAAGGCTAACATAATTGTTGTTTATTGTTGTTTGTTTGTGTATGTGTGTTTGTACATAGGTAGGTAGGCAGACAGACAGAGAGGCAAACAGACAGACGGACACACACAAACACACACATAGTTTGAGTTTGAGTTTGAGTTTTGAGTTTTATTTTATTTATATGCCGCCCTTTCCCCCCGAAGGGGACTCGGGGCAGCTTACAACTCAACCAGGGAAGGGGGTACAAACAAGAATTTAAAACAACATAAAAAATAATGCATGATTAAAAACACAACAGTCATACCATTCGAGACGGGGGCAACAATTCTTTAGCCCCAGGCCTGTCGGAACAGCCAGGTTTTAAGGGCTTTGCGGAAGGCCTGGAGTGGTGAGGGTTCAAATCTCCACGGGGAGCCCGTTCCAGAGGGTCGGAGCAGCCACAGAGAAGGCTCTCCTCCGGGTAGTCACCAGTCGACACTGGCCGGCGGATGGAATTCGGAGGAGGCCTAATCTGTGGGATCTAATCGGTCTAGTGGAGGTAATTGGCATACACACACACACACACACAGACGGTTGCTATTCCGAACAGATAGTTATAGAGGTGCAAATGACAGACCCAATAATTCTTCTGTATAACTGTATTAGCTCTTTGAGCAGTCTGGACTTTCTGAGTTGACGAGGAATAACATTCTTTGTTGTGCCATTTAAATGATGGTTCTAACGTTAGATACCCTTTCAAGTCCTGGGAGATTATAAAACCCAGAAACCTGAAGGTCTCTACTATTGATACTGTGTTGCCTAATATTGGAAGAGGTGGTAGAATTATTACACATCATTCTACTACCTCTTACAATATTTGGCAACACAGTATATAATAAACAACAAACAAAACAGGCTGATATTGTAGAAATGTATATGTATATTATATACACAGTAATAATACAGCCATTGTGGCACAGTGTTTAGAATGCATTACTACAGACTAACTCACGGCTCACTCCAGAAGTTTGATACTGACTAGTTCAAGGTTGAACTAGTCCTTCAGAGGTCAGTAAAATGGGTACCCAAATTGATGGGGGCAGTATATTCTGTAAATCACTTATAAAAGACTGTAAAGCACTATGAAGTGATATATAAGTCTAAGTGCTATCACGATTGATATTAAGTCTTCATCATCCATATGTACTTCATTAATTTTCAAACTTTCACTGTAAACAAAAAAACATCAAATTGCCAGTGTGAATGTTCTCATTCTTTCTTCGGTCTACAGCTTATCCAAAAATTTTCTGTATTCTTATTCTTGTTCCTAGTCAGCCAGATCTCCTAACATTAATGCTGATTCTTCGAATGAGTTAACCAGCCACATATGAACCTATGTTACCAAGTAACAGACAAACAATACTTTAACAACAAGTAATGAGCATGTCATACGAAACCTTGCTGAATCTTTGCTACAATCAAGATAGATTATATGCACAGCATTACTCTTTTCCACTCAAGTAGATAATTTGTCAAGGAAGCAGATTATATTTATGATAGTACCTTCTAATACATCCTTTAAAGCAACAAAACAGGATGATATGGTAGAAATGTGTGGGTGGGTACAAATACACTCTTATCATTAAAATAGCATCATTCCTGTGCTGGAATGCGCACCTGAAGAAGCAGTGGAAAGGAACATTGGCAGCACACAACTTTTCCAGGGAGGAGACAGTATATTCCAGAGAGCAATCCAAATTAAGAGATAAGAATCACTAAAGGTTTTCCATAAGTACATATGGATATCTATATTTCTTTTGCAAGTTTCTCAATAATACAGGTGATGGTTCATTTCATTGTGTAAAGATTAATAAAGTTATATTACTTTAACCAAAGAGCTGCCAGGAACAAGCCCAAAGATAACACAGTGAAATCCAATTGAGTCCAATCCTAAAGGACAAAATACGATCAAACTAACCCTCTACTTCAGGGTATCAAACTGATGGCCTGCAGGCCGGATACATCATGCACAGACCACACCCATCCCACCTCCACAAAGGAAAAAGTATCACAATACATCACGTGACAAGGTTGAATTTGACACCCGTGCTCTACCCAGTATATCCTGAGAAAATCTGGAGAGTGTGGCTTCCCTGAATCTCTTTCTTCCTCTCCTATCTCTTAATTTGGACTGCTTTCTGGAATATACTGCCTCCTCCCTGGAAAAGTTGTGTGCTGCCAATGTTCCTTTCCACTGCTTCTTCAGGTGCGCATTCCAGCACAGGAATGATGCTATTCTAAGCATGTATATCTCCACTTCAATGTTTACAGTTTGTTAAATCAAAACATTTGATTGATCTATCTGGTAAAATATTTCAAAATCCCAAGTTCCACTGATTTTTCTAAAGTCCTCTATATGGAGACTTGAAATATTCCAAGGGAATGTCCTGATATGACTTTTATTACTCAGTCAATCTAGAACAGAAAATGATAAAATTGGAAGGGACCTCGGACATCTTCTTGTCCAATCCCCTGCTTGAACAAGAGCCGAGGTAGCACAGTGGTTAGGGTGCAGTACTGCAGGCCACTTGAGCTGACTGTTATCTGTAGTTCAGCGGTTCAAATGTCACCGGCTCAAGGTTGACTCAGCCTTCCATCCTTCCGAGGTGGGTGAAATGAGGACCCAGACTGTGGGGGCAATGTTCTGACTCTGTAAACCGCTTAGAGGGGGCTGAAAGCCCCATGAAGCGGTATATAAGTCTAACTGCTATTGCTATTGCTACCCTATACCAGTGTTAGTGAACCTTTTAGGCACAGAATGCCCAAACCGGAAAGTGCGCCAGAAACCCGCCAACCAGCTGGCCGGTGTGCATGGATGCCTTGAAAACATGATAATGAGCTGACTGAGCTGGGGCAATGATGCATGTGCCCACAGAGGGCATATGTGCCATAGGTTCACCATCACGGTCCTATACCATTTCAGATAATGGTAGTCAAGTCACTTTTTGAAAGCCTCTGCTAATTTTATAGACAAACCAGATGAGCTTTCTTCAATATATTATCTGTTTATATTTTCCTACCACTTTTATTATTATCACCAGCATCCCTATCACCACCCCATTACTAGAAGATATCCAATTAAAATGGAAGAAATGGCTCAGCTTCACAAAGTTTTTTTTATCATAATAGTAGGAATACAAAGCACCCAAAACACATCTAAAACCTTTGGAAAGATCTGAAGAAACAATAAAACACTTCAAATTTCCTTCTTTTTTCTTCTCTTTCAAAGTCAATGGAGACGAGAACACAGAACTACAATCTTAGCCAGATGGATGAAAATAAACAAAGGGGAATGGGGAGAATCATTGAAAGCAGGCCAAAACACAAACCATCCCAAAACATTAGCACAGTAGGTTAACAGAACATAGAGACAAAGATATTCCAGAACACTCTTCCAACAATGTCCCATTAATTACACGGGACATGTGCCAACAAAACAATCTACAATTTGGATGACAGCAACTGTGCTGTGTATGTTATGCTACAAATGCTTGGGAGCCTTCTCAGACCATGACAGAGAAATGCTGTCCGTGTGTTGTATGCTAATCCCATAAAAAAGTAGTGATAGTGGTGGGGAAATGGATACAATCAAATCAAAATGGTGCATTTAGATTACAAATAGTATTGGAATATTGCCCGAAGATGGACAATCTCACTTTACAAATAAAGAACCAAAAACTTCAGCAGTAAAGCAGTAAACCATACTTTGCCATTTGTTCATAAGACCAATCTTTGACAATTTTGTGAGCAATAGTATTTAAATAAAAGGATCCTGATATGCTTTGCTTCAGGCTTCTCCAACCAGGAGCCTCCAGAAGTGTTAGAGCACTACTTCTATCATCTTGAACCCGTGCAGATGCTGAATTGTGGGGACTGACTGACTGTTAAAAGGTTGCCTTCCAACACATCTGGAAGGAGCATGTTTAGAGACAACTATTTTAATCTAATTGTACAAAATACAAATGCCTTATAACTCAATTCAATTGGTTTCAATTAAACAAATCCAATACAACATATATACAAAATATGTTATTACAGTCCCCTTCAGAGAAGTCAGATAACAAAACAACATAGCTGTAACAATGGATACATTAACATTAATCATCTGGATTAAGACGAAAACATTCTGTCTTCTATCCAACAACAATATTGACCATTCTCTCTGTTCTATGTGGACATCTCATGCTACAAGATATATGTATTGAACCATCAGATGAGTTAACAGTTCTTGAAAATTTGTACTTGTTGCATGTTTCAGTCATCCACCACTTCATGTTTCTAAAATGTTTGGATGATTTTCACCATTTTTGACTCCAGAAAAGGTTGTATCTAGAACATTTGAGTGCTATCAGATTTTATAATGGACAATAGCTTGTTTTCAATTTTAAAATCTCATTGTCAATCAATTTGTGCATTCATCCATTCTCCAATTATTTGTTAAACTGAGAGTTTACTGTTTTTGTTTTCATTGAGTTTAGTAGGGTCTAGGAAACTTATGCTCATTTTATTTATCCATTTGGTACAATGTGTTTAGTCCACAGCAGATGGCAGTGTCCTGCCAATTTTGACTAATCAATGAAAAATCAAGCAATAGCAATAGGACACAGTGCTTTACAGCCTCTATAAGCAGTTTACAGAGTCATCCTATTGACCCCAGCAATCTGAGTCCTCATTATACCCACTTTGGAATGATGGAAGGCTGAGTCAACCTTCAACATTGGTGAGATCCAAACTGAAAAACTGCTAAACTGCTTGCAGCTGGTAATCAGCAAAAGTAGCCTGCAGTACTGCGTTCTAACACTGCGCTACCGCAGCTCATAAGCAGGTCAAATCTAGTTAATACTTGGATACTTGTAGGGACTAATATGTCTATTATACCAAACTTGGAAGCTGAAAAAATATACCAGACCATGTTTTTATTGTTCACAGGAAATCTCTATGGACATGTCCAACAGGACTCAAGACTTCAACTTCAAGGAGACACAAATTTTAAACCATTTAAACTCTGAATTGACAAACAGGCAAGTATCTTCACTGATTTAATTATTAACTATCTCATCTATCTTATCTATCTATCTATCTATCTATCTATCTATCTATCTATCTATCTATCTATCTATCTATCTATCATCTATCACTTCTATCTGTCTATCTGTCATCTTCTTAATCTGACTTAATTATTGATCATCCATTTTGCTTTACATCGATGGTTTTAATCTTCTTCTTAAGAATGTAGGTGTTTTATGTTAATATATCCATTGTTGATATCTCAAAACAGGAACTAAAGTATCTACGCTACCCAAAACAAATCTACATTTTTGACCCTTGTTCTCCAAAAAGAACAGGTTGAGAATGATGCATTTTTCCAGAGAAAGAAATCTTTCTCTGGTGGAAGAACATTACCTGGATAATCATTTTGATCTATGTCTGAGTCTCCTCTCAATGTAAATCCAAATCCTGCAGGCATAGGCTGGGAGGCCCACAGGCCAGTGAGAATCTGGGAAGGATTAGGATTTAACCCATTTCTGTCTCCATTGTAGATGAATACTCTCCCCCTTCTGTCTTCTCCTGCAAATGGAGCACCTATGGCAACATCTGTAAAATAGCAAAGCCAAATTACATTGTTAGAAAGACCATTGAATCAATTGATGTCTTTCCCGAGGAACAGCATTTACTCTGAGATCCAAATAGCTCCTCCCTCCCACCTTTTGTGAGACCTGGGATTTTTTTCCACGCACTTTGTCATGCATAATCTCTGACATAACCTGCATTATCTCATTTTTAAAATTATTTTATTTTTATTTATTATTATAGTTGTAGAATAAATTATTTATCTTATATTGTTGTTTTATATTGCTGATGTTTTAGTTTTATCCTATACATTACGTGTCAAGAAAACAATTATCTCATTTTTAAAATTATTTTATTTTTATTTATTATTATAGTTGTAGAATAAATTATTTATCTTATATTGTTGTTTTATATTGCTGATGTTTTAGTTTTATCCTATACATTACGTGTCAAGAAAACAATTATCTCATTTTTAAAATTATAATACATGAATTGACTGACTAAATTAATAAGTGCTTTGCCACCATGGGCAGGAAATGTTTCATTTGTGCAGAAAAAGATCGCATTTTCTTTTTTCTTACACCAGTTTTTTTATTTTAATTAAACAGAATTTGTGGGTAGTGCATTAATTTAATTATTAATTTAATTCATAGGTATATATTCTATCCTTCCATATACAGGTCCCTCTGCTGTAATCCACAGAATCTCTGGCTTCCCTCTCTTCATTTAAATTCCAAGGGAAGACACCGTGAAAAAGGTCTGAAAATCAGGTAGAAAAATAAATGTCTCTTCCACAGTGGAAGGAAACTTTTGAAGATAGTTTTGGCACCGTGTTAAATTCAGTTAGTTTTGCTTTCACAATCACTGATGTTCGAAACGGTGTGAACAGTTTTAAAAGGAGAAAGGGATATGGATCCATTGCTAACAAGTTGACTGACATCATTTGACCCAGGCCCTGTTCTCTGTGGCTAGAATGGAAGCTGCCCCCCTGCCGGCTTCTTTAATAACAATTCAAGAGAATTTTTAAAACTTTTCTCTTTTCTCAGGCTTTTAAAGCATGGATATTTTACACGTCTGGTTTTAACTGTTATATTTGTTCTACTGAATTTTAGCTGAATTTGAGACATTATAAACCACCTATGAACCTGTGAGTTTTAGTTGTGCCCTAGGTATGAAATCCAGGTGGGCCAGCCACTCCCTTAGCCTAGTGTAGCTTACAGAGAGGGAAGCAGGAGGAGAAAGGACTATTAGATATGCTCACTGCCTTGAATTATTTATAAAAATAATAATAAAGCCAGGATAAAAAAGGAAATTTTAACTAGAATTTACTAGACTGAAAATTGTAACAATTCTATCATTCAATCCATTTACCCATTTCCATGATAGCACAATATCCTTCAGTAAATCATGAAGGGTGTAATTATACTTTTTCCATCACCGTATTTTCATTTTGGGCAACAGTTCAACTTTTGACAGTTCCTAACTCTATAAAAACATACTGGGATTGTTTGAGTAAAATAAAATGTTATTGAACTATTCATTCCCACAAGTTATTTATGTGTACCTCTTTAAGATGACGTAGTTCCTTACCTCTATAACCATCCTGATTGAGATCTCCCAGGGGTGCAATAGAATTGCCAAATCGCCCAAAAACCTCGGTGCCAGACAGTGTCTGTGCTTCTTTGAAGGATAAGACAGCATCCTGCAGATACAGATGCACCTGTCCAATCTCCTTAGGGTTGCTCTCAAATTCACGTTCCATAAAGAGAGGAGCACCAACTAGGATGTCATCCATACTAAAGGGGAAGAAAAAAGGCTAAAGATCAAGACCGACATCCCAACTGGCTCAGCTTCAAAAGCGTGCTTGCTTTGCAGGAGAAGGACAAGCTGAACAGAATGACTAAAGCAGAGTCACAAGCTGGTCCCTGACCATTTTGTAAATGCATTGTAAATGTAAAATCATGCAGGTATGAAAATAGTGGAGCTTCTGGTGCATTTTGATGAAAGCAGTAAGTGCCTTGTGTTGCGCTAGATTTCTATCCATTAGTAAGTTATTCTTTCATCTCTGAAAGCTTCTTACTATGTAACATCTGGACTGGACAGGGGTCACTTGTGAATTAATTGTCCCAGCAGTATTTGCTTTGGGAGATAGAATACTGCTGAATCATTGGTTGATGAAAAGTTTATCCTTTCTTAGTTTCTTTCCCTTTTGGTTTCTCTATATCCTTGCATGAATGAATGAATCTTAGACTGTGTGTTTCACTGCCTCTGATCTTTGCTATATTTTGTTTTTCCAACTCCTAATTCAGATAACAAAAACAATGATGTCAATTTCACCTCCATTTGTTCTCTTTTGTTTCCAGTCTGTCCCCAATTGTTCTAACAACGCACAGGGAGCCGCGTGTTTTAAAACATCTGGTTAGAGTAGAAATTTTTAAACTTGAGAAACATTTCTGTTTGTCTGCGTTTATAAATAGCCTTGTTTCAGAGCCAAGTTTAGGCTCGGAAAGGCAAATGGGATGGGGAATGAAGCAGCCGCATTTCAAATGTAACAGAACATTACAATTCACAGTAGTGTTTAATGCAATGCTACAAACTGTGCTTGCTACACACTGCTTCCAGTCAGGAACTTTAAAAAAGTCAAAATGGCTGGCAGAAATGGAATAACTGTGTTTGTTAACTTGAATTTTTTCAGTCCAGAAGATGTCCTCATTTCCAATGATGGAAGAACAGACTTCGATGCCAGTTGATGAATCATGAGCAAAAAAGTGAATTAGGGTACCCAAATTCTATTTGTCTGCTTTCTATTGGCATTCTTTTTGCCATTGCGTGAACAGTAGGTGGAATAAAAATGTTGTTTGATCTGACCAAGCATCAATCTTTGACTTTCACATATCCACACTGGTGTAGCATTTGTCTATCAATCAGGAAAGTATAATAATACTTTTTAGTATGTTTATTGTTATTATTATATTTTATAATATAAAATTCTTATAATTCTAAGATTAGAGAATTAATATCAATGTAAATGATGTTGTAAATATTGATGGTTATTGTATTGTATATTTGTACTCAGATGACACACTGTTCAAAGAATGATGGAATGTTTATATATATTTTTTAAAAAACTTTTTTAGAAACTTTGAAACAAGGTCACAAGTAGCTTTGAGGAGAGAGGGTTCCATTGAAACTATTATCCAGTCATCAGTCAAGAACTATCTAACTGGACAAAATAAATAAGCTGGCATGGTACAAAGCAACTTTCTGTATTCCTAGAGAGATATAAACTAAATTATACGACAATAGGCAAATGGTATTAGGTGAAAAACTGATGGAAAGACATTAAGAAATAAAATCCAAAACAAGATGCTATTAATATTGCCACTGTCAAATCTATTTCATTAACTAAATGGCTTTGAGAGACCGCCTTCTGCCAATTACCTCCCACAGACCCGTTAGATCACACAGGGTCGGTCTCCTCCAGGTTCCGTCTACCAGCCAATGCCATCTGGCTACTACCCAGGGAGGGCCTTCTCTGTTGCAGCTCCGGCCCTCTGGAATGAACTCCCCGCCAAGATTCGGACCCTCACCCCTCTCCAGGCCTTCCGGAAAGCCGTCAAAACCTGGCTGTGCCAATAGGCCTGGGGTTGATGAGTTCCCCTCCCCTCTCGACTTGTATGGTTGTATGGCTCTTGTGTAATTTAATTATATGTATTGTGTTTGTAT